CCTTTATATACAAACCAGCGATACCCCTCTTCATTGATTATTGGAACGCACAACGGAATGCAAACAATAATGTCGTGGCACCTGCCGTGGCCGTGGCATCTGCCGTGGCATCGGGATTGGGCGGCCTGGCCTGGCCTGGCCTGATTTCCCATCCGTCGCCCGCAGTCAATCGAATGTTCATCCCTTGGAATGCCTCAAACATACTGGAACGTCTTGTTCCCAGCCTCAGCTACAAAAGCCCCAGCATCAAAAGAACGCAAAGACATCGGTCACCACCGGGGTCTCCCTGAAAGTTTGGATCGAGTCACGGACGGGGTCCTCTTTTCTCTCCCCCCCAAGAAGCTGGGCTTCGAAGCCTGCCTTAGAGGCGTCAGAGACGCGAGAAGGATCCAGGTCCAGACCTGCCACGGACGACGCGGTGCACCGGAACCCCCGCCCGGTGGCTTCTCGGTCGGACTCCAGAACCGGAGTCGTCGGAAAGAGTCCGAAAGGGTCCGGAAGAAGTCCGCAAGTAGAGGCGGGCTCTCTCTGAGGAAGAAATCGCTGGCAAAGTAGATTGTGCTCAGTGGGTCATTGGTCAGCAGGAATGGATATAAAGAACTTGGGCTTTTCGTCTAAGTTTGGTTTGCAACCTTTGCTGTCACGTTCAAGAGTTCTTCGTGGCCATTCATTTTCAGCAAACGTACCAGTTAAGAGCAAGCGACAGGTCCTCGGCTGTGGGACACCTTGTTTCACCAAAGGGAACAACACCAGCGCTTCACAGAACAGCAACATCTGTGCATTTCGACGTGGTTTTCAACAGGATGCAAAACAAGGATTCTTTTTTGGGGTGGTTCCCTACGCCGTTTTCAACAGGACTCTTCTGTGTGGGTGGTCTTTCTTTGCTTCCCAAAGGCCAGACCACCCATCGACGGAACAAGCAAATCCATGTCGATGACCTGTCGCCATTCAGCCGAGTCCAAAGGATTCACGGACAACGGCCTCTTGAAGTCTTGGGGTCCAACCTGTCTTTTCCCTGAAATAGAGTATTATTTGTTTGCGCACAGCGTTATATACCAGAACTGGCACAAGCTGCCTGAAATCCTAAAAAACATGCCATCCTTTTGGCATCTGCGAAAGTGCATCTGCTTGTAGCATTGGTCCCACCTTTCCTTGAGCATTTGGCCTTGTGCCTGCCCCTTTTTGAGGCCGGTGGGGCTTTTTGCAAGAATGCATCCCCCATCCATCCGGTTTGCAAGGTCAGAATCCATGGTTTCAATTGGCGCCTCTTCACATCCACCGAGTCAAAAAAGAGAAGGTGGGGCTCAAGAATCCCAAGACTAGCGATGGCCTCCAACCTACTAGCGATAGCCTCCAACCTACTAGCGATGGCCTCCACCCTAATTGCGATGGCCTCAACTTATGCACCCGAATTCAAACCTCTAAAGTTTAGGAGCATTTTTGCAGCAGTTTGCAGTTTGCAGCAGGAATGTGTTGCATCTCCCGTTCGCCTGCAACCATTGACGGACCATCCTGCATAGTTGGCTCCACTCGAAGTGAAGGCTTAAAGAGGGGGGCACCACATTTTCGGTCGTGCCGGGCCTGTTGGAGTGGAAGGTCAACAAGACTAAGAAGGCTTTAGACGTTCCTTTTGCTTCTTGCTACTAGTAGCCATGGCCAGGAGTGCTGTTACTGGTAGCGATGGCCTCCACCTAATAGCGTCCTTGCCGCATAAAGAATGTCCCCGACTTCGGCAAAGACCATATTAGAATGTCATATGAGTAGACATCCTCGAAAGGATCAGTGTTTCGCGGGAACACTCGAAAGGATAAGTAGATGTCGACAAGCAGGCATGCAGCAACCTGCTGGCTCATTCAGCCATGTTGCATTCGAGAGCAACCTTTCATTCCCTAGCGAGTCTGCCCGTGAGTCTGTGCCACATTCCTGTTTTTCTTCATTCAAGACAAATAGACAGGGGAACCACTTCCACAGCTTCAAATCAACCACTTCCACCGGTCCCTTATGCCGAAACCACCCATCAAACCAACATTGATGGATGAAGCATGACCACGAGCTCACCAAATGAGGTTCAAGCTATGGTGGGCTTTCGAGAAATTGGAGGTGTTTGCTTGCTTGGCCATGGACATTTTATATAGATCCCCCCGGCGCCCAACGTCCTGTGCCAACCATTGGGCGATGCCACCATGTTTTTAAAACATCGCGGCCAAATCTGCCGGAGCTTAGCCAGCGGAGATCCAAGATGAGGCTGAAGAGTCAGCAAATGATTTATCTCCTTCTCTCTCTACCTCTGGCAATTACCTAGAGTGAGTAACCCACTTTAACCACGTCCACGTCTTTTTGTGTTGGTTTCCTTGGTCTGAAAGTGAGGCGTGCTGAGCCCAGCGGTGCGGCGTGGCGCAAAGCGTAAGGTTCTGATTTCGGTTCGCGCGCGCGCGGCTCAAAGAATGCTCCCCTCTCCTCATGTTGAACAGAATAGCCCGGATAGTTGAAGGGTTCAACGCCCCACCTAGAGAAAAATGCTGCCACAATTTTCGGAGATCGTTGCTCCTCACAATCGATGCATCTCAGTTCACTGATTCACACCTCCCGCAAGATCTATACCTCAATCTCCACCCTATAGCAGAAAAATGACAAACGTTTATGAATCATCTCAAGTCTCAAGTGTATAATGTTTCTAGATAAACAAGGAAATGTTCATGACCTGGAGCTTCAAGACCGGAAAACCCCGCGTGAACTGAATAAGAATTGATCTGATCTAGGCCGACACCGAGCCAACAACCGAGTGAAAAAAATGGACTTTGGACCAGGACCGTTCTCCATTTGGACACATACCCAGTTGGCTGCGCCCTCGGTCCAAAGTGATCGAAACTGTACTGAAGAGATCCCTTCATGTGGGCGGCCGATTGTGTCAAGGGAAGCTCCCTTAAAGATTCCAGTAATTCGTTGTCATTCAAGTCAAAGGGGTGCCGGTTCCAAAGGGGAGGAAATCGGGGTGCCCCGAACATCGCATCCACGGATGGGAGAAGCTAAACCACCCAACTCCATGCGACTCCTGGTATTCTCTCCCCTTAAGAACTGGAACGAGTGTGTCTCGCAGTCTCGCGCCTTGCGCTTCTTGCGCACCATGAGTCCAGCCAAGGCTGCTGTTAGAACCCCCCCGATCGGTTGGAAGGTTTCGTCCTCAAGTGTCCAGATATTGAAAAAAAGAATTGGACATGGAAAAAGGTTCCAGGTCATCCTTCTCTCGAAGCGCTTCCAACACTGAACCTTCTTCTTTCACAACGGTTTTGCGTCGTTCTGCGCTGACAGCTTGGCGGTTTCTTGGTGCAAAGCTTGCAGCCTCCGAGGAACTTTCACCACCTGCTGACTCTTGCCAAAACGCGTGTCCTGAAGTACACGGCGAGAACAAGAACATGTTCTTGACATGGGATAGCTTGACAAGAACAGAACCCTCAAATTAGAACATGTTCTTGACAAGAACATGGGAGAGTGTTTTCTTCTTTTCCATGGGATTCATCAAGAGAATACAGAACACGGTGGGAAAGCGAGGCATCACATGGTGGAGAAAGCTTTCGATGGCTGTTGTTGACCCCCCAGGGCCGCCGAGGCTCTCCGGATGAGCCAGCTGGCTTCGGTGATCCAAGTCCTGGTCCACTCCGTCATCAGGTCATCCAAGGGGGGGTCCAGCAACTGAGCAACTGAGCAGGCGGAAAAGCGGCACTACAATCCAATCCATATGGCCATTGGTCAAGGGACACAGCTATCTGCCTATGGGGTTAGCAATGAAAATTCACTTGGGACCTGTGGAGGAAAGTGAATCAAAAGGAGCCTCTGTCCGTGCCTGGACCTTCCAGGAGTCCCGTTTTTCCAGCCGCTTGGCGAAACAACACAAATGTCAGTTGTTTCCCGTCAAAAACGCCGTTTCATGTCAAAAGTGCCGTTTCGACGGTTTTTACAGAGGTTGCCAAATTAGCGGTCGGCAAAGGTCGCCGTTTGGTCGGGAAGAAAGTCGCCGTTTGGTAAGGAAAAGTTGCCATTTCAAAGTCTTGACTTAGCATGGAAAACACACCCACCCACATGACCCACATCAACGATCACAAACACGCCCTACGTGTTCCTTTCTAGGCATGCATCTCCTGCAGAACTGCTCAGATGGATAATGGACGGTAGCCCCTTTTTGCCCCCCCCAAGCAATGCGCGTAAGGGAGCCAGAGGGAGCCAGTTGCTCTCCCGATCCTTTTTCTCTGGAGAACCTCCAAACCCTATGGGTGCGCATGAAAAACGGAGAACCCTCGACCTGGCGTCCCCTCGACAGCGAAATCGACGAAGGGATCGACGTCCCCTCGACGTCAGAACGGGTCCGGGGTGGGGTGAGGTGGGTCGGAACCCGGCACCTGGCGGCTTGGTGGCCCGGTCTATGGCTGTGGGTCGAGACCAACCGAACAGAGACGACCCAAGGAGCCAAGGAACCAAGGGACATTGTGACATGGGTTTTCCAGGTTTTGACCCACACCCATAAGGACGACCAATCGTTAAATCAAAGATGTCAAAGACAAAAACCAGCGCCCTCTGTCATCGGTCCCTCCTTCCTCTTCCCACCATTCCCACAACAGACAAATTACATGAGTCCACTCAAGTCTTCCTCTTCCCACCATTCCCAGACCATACTTTCGGAAGACGCCCCTCTTTTTCCGTCTTTTTTGGTCCCCAGGCTTCGGAGGCGAAGGTCTTTCACCCACGGCCCCGTAGCAATCGTCCCTGACTCCATCCTTTTCCATCCGTCTCAGCTGTGGAAAGCCAGGCAGCATTCGACATGCCGTTCTTTTCACGTTCGAAACCTCTTCGCCGGTTCCGCCTACGCAAGCCATGTCATGTCGGGAGTGTGGCACCGTGATCGCACACATACAAGCTTCGGGGAAGAAAATGCATGCTGCATGCTGAGCGTGACTGGCAACCTGAACACTGGACTCCGTGATGAGACCTACTGTGGTCACCAATCTTCCTTCACCATTCCCAGTATAAAATGCGGAACCCATCGAACTGCCCTCAGGGCTTCATTCTTCGCTTCAAGGGTGCACCTGAGCAGATCGGCAAGCCGTGGCATTGCAAGCCTGTTGAGATGCTGATCATGCTGCAGCCTCATCCGGGTTTTCCCAGATTGCCACCAGGGCAAACAATTCAGAAGGGCACCAGTGGTTCCATGGTCTCAGGTCATTGAAAATCGAAAGTCCATCTACCTCCGTCTACTTCCTCCAAGGCTCAGGTGCTCCACCTGTGCTTTTTGGTTTCCAAAAGAAACAGATCGGTCACCCTCCCAGATGTCCAAGCTTGCGGAGGGGTCACACGAAAACCCTGGGCTGGTCTCCGAAATCTGCCCGAAAAGCTGAAAGCAGTCATCGCACCCATCAAGACCAAAAAAGAACACCTCAACCCATCAAGACACGTCCACCCTCCCAGGCCCACCGCTTGGGTCGCACCTCCTCTAGTCATCGAAAAGGCCTCCCTTGCTGGCCCTCTTGGGTTCATCGTCTCCAAACCTGGAGACACACATGGGGCGTGGAGGGGGGTGGTCTGGGTTCCAACGGCTGGTGAAAACGGGTTGTTGACATCCGAAGAAGATCAGTCGCAAGGGAATGAACCCTGAGAAATCTTCAGGAAGTAGAACACAAGAATGGGGGCTCTCAGCAGAAACTACATGAAAAAAAATATAAAACCGAAAAATCACGGCACGCACTGGACTCGGCATGCGTCACCAATGTCTCGAACCGGTCTGGTCTGCCTTTTTCGTCTCTCAGTCCCAAACAGCCCTCCGCCACCGCTCTGAGATAGAAGGCCGGACCTCAGGGCAGGGCAGGTCAGAGGCCACTTTGGCTTCAAACCGGAGGTGGGGGCGGCCTGGCGGCCTTGGGAAATCCATGTCGCAAGGCCGAAGAAACGGATTCAACGCCCTTCCAACATAAAAGGAATGGTGTTTTGTTTGTAAGACCCAAGGATGTCGGGCCCCGCACATCAACCCAAAGCACAACATTCAAGAAAAGCAAACCGCAAGGATGTCAAAGAGCGTGTGTCTCTCTTGCCTGCGTGGTGGGCAACCAATGCACCCACCTTTCTTTTCCTTTGCCATGTCCGTTTCCATGTCCCAAATTCCCTCAGCCGCACTTGGATGTGCTTCGCTGATAAATCTCCTGCACTGGATCCTCTTCACCATTCCACGCGATGGCCCACACATCTCGGAGATTCCGGCAGGAGCCCATCCGTCTTCTTCCCCAACTCTTCTTTCGCTCGACGCTCCTCAAACAGCCGAGGGGGACGGCCAGGGGGACGGCCGAGGGGACGCCCCGCGGAAAAGGCCGTCGCGGATTGGGGGCCTAAGACGTCGTGACATAGTGCTTCGCCCGGAGTTGAAACCGAAGAAGACCAACAAATGGTTAATCTGACTGTGATCCCCAAAGAACTCGGGCCTCAACGGTCTCGACTCTGGGTCCAGCGACGCAAGCAACAGTGTTTTCGTTTGTTCTTCCGAAGCAACCTGCAAGAAGTGGGTGGACTTCGTGGGCTTCAGGGTCTCCATCACTGCGTTCAATGGCTTCGGTTGAGAATTTTGGTGCTTTTGCCTCTGAACGCTCTTGTTCCTAGTAGCTTCTTGTTCCTAGTAGTAAGGCCAAGAGCCCTAGTAGCGTCCTTGCTCCTAGTAGTAAGGCCAGGAGCCCCTAGTAACCCAGTAGCGTCCTTGCTTTCAAGGCTTCCTCCTCGGCTCCCTCCTCCTCATCTCCCGCTCCATCCTACTCCATCCCCGTCTGGCTTCACACCGTCCTCCTCGCGGCGGCGTTCCTCCTCTTGGCGGCGCCGCTCCTCGTCCTGAAAGGGAAGGTTGAGATGATCGGAGGCACCTGGGACACAGAGGTGTGGCCCAAGTTAAACATCGAAATATTTTGGGAAAGTCAGTGAGGGTGAGTTTCGTTTTCAGCGTGTATTCAGGATTCGGTGGGTTGAAATGATGAGTATAAATTTTGACCAGACCTCATTTGCAAGAGTTTGGATCGTCATTGGGCCTTACAGGCAAGGCGAAGCCCATGAAACTGAGAAGTATGGAAGTGGATGGTCTGGCCAGGAAGACTTCCTTTCACCAAAGAGGTGGTCGTCCACCAGAATGGAAAGCAAGTCGGAAGGTGTTGTTCTTTTTGGCAATGTGTTTGAAGTGTACCCCATGGCCAAGCCATAACTTTGTGGAGACCTACCCCGTGCATAGCAGATCAATCTTCTCCGCTGTGCCATGAACATCCATACTTTTTACCAATTCACACGACCACTGAGCAAAAACAACTGCATGGACAGTATCCCACAGTCGGGCTCAGTTTCGATCAGGCCAGGGACAACAATCTGTAGAACCAACAAGCATTTTACGGCAGGATCATGTCAGCTGCAAAAGAACTTGCGTCGACAAAGGCCCTAGTTATGCTTGAAAACAATACTCGAAACTCGCTTCCCTCTATTCCCCACAGGAATGAATGCGTAAACATTTGATCCCATGAGCCCTACAACCCATCCAAAGCAAAAGATCCATCCGTCTCAGTCCTCCCTGCGGCGTCGCTCTTCTTCTGCTCGCTGCCGAGCCAACTCCTGGAGACAAAGCTCTGTTGGGCACTCTGTCAAGAGCACAGTGCAAGGTGGAGATGGGTGTCGTCCATCTTATCCGGTTTTAGTCTGAGATTGGTTTGATGATTGTCAGACACTAGACTAGACTGGTGTCAGGGTTTTCATCACACTCACCCACAAAAAGCGCAGCTCTTTGAAAAAGAAAAAGCGAGCTCACGTCCATGACTGAATCCAAGTCCCAGTTAGAACTGCATGATGGAACTCATAGTCGTGGTGATGAACTCCTCTCAATTGAGGTTGAAATCCGCCATAATCACCACTGGTTTTTAGAGGCCAGTCACAAAGGTGAGGAGCCCTGACCACATCAGCGCATTGGTAGGGCCTTGGATGCCATCCCTGCTTTGAAGTAGGCCATGATCATGATGAGGTCCAAATTTCTCGAAGGTCCAGTGCACAGCATACCGTCCACATCCATCAATTCCATGACTCTTGTCACTTTAGTTGCAATCAAAACCGGTCCCCACGCAAAGACAAAAAGCTCTTGGATGTTCAATTGATTGAGTCAGACACCAAGCAATTGCCATCTGACATCTCCCAGAAACGGGACTCAAGATTCCGGTGAGGACATGTTCCTTTTGAGAGATTCTAGAACCCAACTGGATCATTACAGAGTCAGAGTAGATTGCACAATCCCCAATGTCCGTGGTTTAGGACCCCCATCGAATCCGAAACCTGGTTTTCCGGACCCCGTCCTCCGCCCGGCGTCGGTTCTCCTCCTCAATGCGCTTCTGGTCCTGCGGTGGCCAGGCAAAGCGTTGGAAAAAATGGAAGGCTTTCCTTGACACCTACGGACCTAGGTGTGGTCCGTGGACACCCCCATGTACGTACTAGGAAGGTCCTTGAACTTTTTTTTTGGCCAACTATGCACCAACGGCTTTTCGCTTCGTTCCCAAAAACGCTTGGTTACACCCGCTTTTCGCGGGCGTCTCCGGCCCCCAAAGACCTTCGGTCGGATTCCCATCCTTCGCTACCTGGGTCGGATCCTGTAGGCTACCTGGTAGGGATCTGCCTCTGCTTGGATCGTGCCACGCGCCCGCGCCCCACCAAAGCACCAAACCAGCCACGTTCTGAGCCAAGGAGCGGCCAGGAGGCGTTCCTGGGCGAGACGCTGCTCCTGGCGATCCGACCCAAACTGAGCGGAACGACAGGCCGATACACTGGATGATTTACAAATACATGGGATAAACGATAAACACTGGATCATTTACAGTATTGGCTTAGGACAGTATACCAGCCTATGACACTGGATAAACCATTTATAGTATAATGATTACAAAATACATGACAACCAAAGAACGCGGCTCAAAGAGTTGTTGTCCCACCCCAAGCAACAAGCGCATGCTGGGTCGAAGGCTGGGGCCTTCAGGCTTTCGCGGTCAGCTCCGAGTTTGCGACCACCAGGTGTTCCTTTCGACCCTTCAGTGACTTATTCTTCGGTTTGAGTCCTGGCAACCCCGCAAATTTGCCGGGTGAAGGAACGTCTATTTCTCAGAGAGCGCGGAATGGCCGTGTTCCACGTGGGCCATGAATTGGTGGAAGCAGAAGAAAGAAGAAAACCGGAGAAAAAAACCGGACGAGTGACCGACAAAGGGCCGGACGAGTGGTCCGCTTTTTGTACAGGTCATGTGGTGTGGCCAAAACCCAACCATCGTTGATCCAACGATTGCGCCGCTGAGTCGGCAGACATGTTCCCTCCTCTGGACTTGGACCCGCAGCTGGGGCACCTCAGTCCCGGATCACTCAAGCCGGCAAAAATGGACGAAAAATGCACGAAGAAGGCCAACCAGGCCCCTATGGGGCTGATGGAAGTGATGGAAGCCGTTTTTGGAGAGTCCAGATCGTCTGTGTACTCTTCTGTGACATGGGTTTCAAGAGCTACCAGAGACCAGGGAGGGTTCGTCTATCCTATGGCGGACAAAGATCAGACATGTGAAAGGTACCCCACCCTATTCCAGTGTTTAAATCCTCAAACAGTCAAGGTTCAATGGACCACCCACACCATGCCACACCCACTCCGAGTCACTCAAAAAAAAATCAAACTGGCACCCAGCAAAACGGGAACATGATATGGGTAACGACACTAACATACCGTTCAACACACCCTTTCCCAAGGGACAACCCCTGTCATCTCCCTTCCAAGCGCCGAGTGGCCAGCGTAGGGCTTCCCGGGTGGTGCCACCAGGGCGCCACCTGGGTAGAAAACCAAGGAGGAAGGCGGGGAGGATCGCGGAAAGGAAAATACATCCCGACAATTCACCCCAAAAAGACACGGTCTTTTTCCCTTCCCTAGCGCCTAGAGTAGACCTATAGGCCTGTATTTGATATTTTATAACATTGCACCTCCCTCTGTCATCTGTCTTATGAATAGCTGTAGGCTCCAACACAATCTTTTCTACTGAGCTCTTCCAAATCACCTTCAAAAACGCACTGACAGAAGTACGTCCCCATCTTGCAACAGCCACACCGTGGTTCATCGCCCCAGACACGTTGGGCGTTCGAGAGCGGCGCCTTGGGTGCCTCAGGTGAAACGGCACGGCCAAGGCGGGCGGACGGTGCGTCTCGCTGTGGCGCTCTCCCTCTGGCCCTCTCGGCGGTTGAAACATGCGGGTCTGACTAAGAAGCCATACATCCTGTGGGTCCAGCCGCTTGTCTGACTAAGCCACAGGATGTCCACCAATATGACTCGACCTACAAATGAATGGCCCACATCTGCCACATCTGCAAGAATCTGCACAGACCTGCTGCAAGCTGGTAGGAATTGTGCCCATCTGTGGACCCCTGGAAAAGGGATCTCTAAGCACTTCACCCTCAACGAAGACGTCCTGCGAAGCTCTTGTCGGCTCAGGTCCCCAACCGCTGCAGAGAGTCCAGGGTCGGGTGCTCGAAGGAGGCTGTCCTGCATCCTCTCCTCGTCGAGTGGATTCTTCATCCGAGCTTTCAGAAACTTTGCTCGTCACATCATCCAGTGTTGGGTGTCAGGTTTTGCGGTCTCTCCTCGGCCCTGACAAGTGAGCGGAAAGCCGCAAGAAGGAGTGGAGCAGAGAAAGAACTGGGTGAGCAATCTGTCCGCCGGGCGGCGCAAGCTTTCTTCTCCCATCCCGAACGCGAGCGGCTGTCCTGAGCAGCTGCCATACGGCCCATCTTCTCATCCAAGCTCACCAACAAGCTGCATACCTGGAGGCATGGCCAGTGTATAGAGAGAGAGAGAGAAAGCACCCACCCAACATCATGTATGCACCAGCTTTCCTCCTCATCTGCACTTCCGGGTCAAAACCCAAGCATTTACTGTTTTCACTGATCTGTTGATGTTTGGCATGTTCCATCCACGCATGAGCGATCGTAAATCGGGCAACTTCCGTCGCAACCTCCAACATCCAAACAGAAGGCGCCCCGCTACACCACGCTTGGCATCGCTTGGTCGTTTCTGACTCAAACCTCGAGCAATTCCAGGCCTTGCCCAGCAATTGCTCTTGGCCTTGGCTTTCAGATGGCACGTAGAACTTCTGTTCTTGCTGTGACGACCATTTGGCGTATGAACAAATGAAAAAAGGATGATCAGGTTCAAAGGCTCGGAAATCACAGATCACCATGTCAAGGAATCACACAAAAACATCGGGAAAACATCTTATGGTGTGTCATTTCAGTTTCACAAACGTCTGTTCCTGCAAACATCCCTGGGTGGAAGCCATTCACAGATATTCTTTTGAAGAGAATCCTTGATTCTGTACCCCTTTCAACTCGTTCTGCAACTTCAGAAAACTTCCCTGAAAACTCCCAGCTTCCGCAGCACACCCTTCCCCCACACCCTGCGCCCTGCCCCCCCAAAGAGCCACAGATCGACCCCACCACACCACACATCGACCGCGGACTGTCGTCTCTCGTCTGCGCCGGCCTCGACAGGGCCGAAGAGGCCCTCTTCACTAATTGCGTGGGGGTCCAGAGGTTTGGTGAACCAAAAAAAGAACGACACAAAAGGTGCAACCAGTAAAACGACCTTAATGAGCTTGGTACCGGTGAAAGGCCACGGTCCAAAGAACAACACGAAACGAAGAACGTGTCGACTGAGAGGAAGCGATTCATCCCCCGTGCCCAGATCGTGCCCAGACACGCTGTGAACTCTCGGCCACCAGCCGGAGCAGGGCTTCCACCCCAGCCTGGCGAGAGGACGTCAAGTCTTTGGGGCCAAAAAAACCTTAGTAACTTAGGATTGATGTTTTCAGGTGGTAGAAAATACATCAGGATGGTCTGATTCTTTCTTGTTTCTCACGTGGTTGTGGCGAACCTGGTGTTTCCCGCCAATAATGAACATAATAAACGACCTGACATGCTCAACCTACCCTGGTGAAAGGGGCTCTGGGTTTTGACCCGCAGCCACCTGAGAGGAAACCACATGTCAAGTGCAGCTACCAGCAGTGAGAGTTGGTGCTTTGCAGACCTCTAAATACCTGGTGATCTGCTTGGCCTAAAACACCCCAACTTCGCCGACCACTGGAGCACCTATACTGAAGCACATCTGTTCATCCTGTCCAACGTTCATGGTGCCAGTTCCTACGCTCGTTGACTATGGTGATCTCAGAGCAGAGCAGCAAAAGGGCACACATCGTTGAGTATTAGTCTAGCACCTTGGTATTTCTCCATCAGGTCACCTGCCACCGGTCACTGTGTTTGCAGTGAAACACCATCGATTCGCGGATTTCTGCGGTTTTTTCGGGTTTCAAGGGACACACGAAGGAGTCATCACACCTTTTGTTGGGAGAATCCCTGCACCACCCGGAAGACTTACAGCATAGGTGCTGTACTTGAACTCCTCTAGAGTGCCAAGCCAGGCATCTCACGCCTCCCCTTCGTGCTGCGGCGCAGATGGCACTTCCTGGCAGGGACGGCCAAGTGAGCAATCCAGAAAGAGGAAATGGCGTGGTTCGTAAAGAAACAGAATGTAAGGAAATGAATGAGCATACTGAGCTGGTATGTAAAGGTTTCATCCTTATCTCATCCCTTGTTCGCAGTGGGACTCTTTCTTTGACCTCTGGAATGCCGGCAAATAGCATGGTGAGGTGTGGTCAGCATGTTACTGTCTATACAAACCAATTTGGAATCTCTTGAACATGGAAATCCATTACGCACCTTGAGACAATGAGAACTCTCACCACCAATCCGTGCTTCATCAACTTCCTAAGTGAGATCCACACTCGAAAACTATGAGGTTCCACCGGAAGTTATTACAGTATGATCGACGTCAAAACTCTTGGTTCAACTACCAACTGCTGCATTGTGGATTCTGCAGGTTTGAAGCTTCGACAACATGAGTTAGTTAGTCTGAAACAGTTGACATGTGACTGCGAACACCAAGGCTTTTGGTGTCCAAAGTCGTGTCTTTCCGCGTCCAAGGTCTTTCGGACCACGGCGTCCCAAAGTCTCCACGTCCGAAGCCAAGAGCACAGCTGCCGAATCCTTCCAACGGCCCAACGCACGCCCGCCCCCACGCCTGTGAGAGGTACTCTGCAAACGGGTCCTGGGCCAAGCAAAATCGTCGAGCTTTGGAAAGGTTGGCTCATCATGCGCAAGCCAACCCCAAATAGCACGAGGTTCTTTTCAAAGCAGGGTTACTTGATAATATCTGTGTTTGATGAAATGGCCTATTGAGAGGCTCTCCCTGTTCAAACGAATTCTCGAAATCATCTATAATTTGTATATCTACCTCAGACACTGAAGCCCTTACACTCTCTCTATCTCTCACAGGGCTATCTTGCGTCAATAGAAGAAAGCCTGAAAAAACTCTACTTCATTGGTGTTTGCTTGTGCATGCACCAATCTGTTCCTGTGAGTCTTTCCGACGTGTTTGCATGATCTTTCTTCACTCTGGCGTTTTTTCCAAGCACTTGCTAGCATATGAAAAACAAATCTGCAAAGTGCAGCTCATCTTTCAATCACTGTGATATTCCCCACCTAAAGCAAGCAACAAATATCTTCGGCAATTGATCTTTTGGTTGAATCCACCATGAACAAAATTGTTCCGCCTCTTCAGGATGAGATTCGGGTTCCATCGCCGGGTTTCACCTGGGCCGTCGAACCCAGTGGCGAGATCCATGGGGAAATGTTTTTTCAAATGCAAGTTTGTTTGCTCAGTCTTGGCCTTGTCTTTACCGCATGAGGCAGATAGTGTGAATGGTCACGCCAAATTTCACCACAAGTCGACCACGTCATGTACAAGTGGTGGCTCTATTGTAGTCATTCCTCCACTCTCACAAGTTTGGCAAACAACGCCACAGCACATTTGCACCTGGGTATCATAAACGAAGCCGTTATATTATAAATTTGGCCGATCCATGTTACACCATGTTTGCCTGATGGGAAAAAACTATGCGACTGATCTCAACCACTCAATTTGCAATGGAAGTGGCCGATGCAGAATTGAAACCACTAACGCGCTATTGTGTGTTGCAGCTGGAGCAAAACCCAACGGCAGAACGACTGCTGGTAGCAAGCAATCTCCAAATTCAATTCGAGTCTGCATGTCTTGTTCTGCTGGCGTCATGTCGAAACCATACGTCTAACTGCAATGATGTCAGACCTGCATGAACTTGCAAACGCATTGTTTGTCCACTACGCCCCCCACATCATTGCAAGCACAAAACAAACCAACCATACATGTTCCAACTTTGTTTTTTTAGCACTGTCTCACAAAAATGCGGCCCTTTTAACCTCTTCTTTGAGCCACTGCAGTGCGGAGTCACACTGATAAGAACAGATACTGCTCTTCTGTGCATCATCTAGCGCAGGGGCCATGCTAAGTTTCGACACCCCGCCTTAGAGTATGGTGTCATTCACCTTACTCTACCACATTCTAAATTCTGCTCAGTTTCTTTCTCTCACTCAGTCGTGTCGTGCCAATGCGAAGCGCTGTCGAATCCGGACCTGGGTTGTAATCGAACTCGCTGTCCGATGACATAATGTGGGCTTCATTCCAGGCTTGAAAGTCGCTCATTTCTGAGCCTCGTGATGCCAGGCGTGGTCTTGGCCTTGGCTCAGGGCTTCCGGGCTCTTCATCAGCACTTGCATTCTGCAGGTCTCTGGTGTCTCGACCTCCATCACTTCCCATGGCTTCTGTACCGGCGAATTCCGTGCGCTCTCTTGAACAGAAAAAGGTGTCTGCTCTGCCGCTTTCGTCACGAAATTCAATTTCATGAAAACAAAGGATGAGGACATGAACGCACGTGGATCACTCTTCTAGCATAGCAACAACAGATCTTGAAGATGATTGTATGTGTTCCTGATTCTGCGGATGTCCCAATGATAGGCTGGGTTCCGCATCTGTTGCAGCTCTGATGTGGCTCGCCACTGCTGAGCATATCAAGGTCGGATCATTCTCCAACCTGATCTCCACGCATCTCAAATTGTTCCTCCATTCAAAGAACTCGACAATGTCGACTGGGAATCCATCCAGGTTGGTGCAGTGAGCACTTTTTAAAAGAAGTGCTCGCGCTATCTGCTGTAGCTCTTAGGTAGCCGTGTAGCAGGTGAAAGCTACCGCATAGGTCTGCTGCTAACCTAATGCACGAATGCCAAGATGAAGCACGAATGTTCTGGCCGTGGAAAACAGTGAACTTAACTCTAACGTGACAAGCGACAGGGGATGAAGCCTCCACTGCGGCCTTCATTCAGTGCACATGACGAGGATCAACGGTGATGGCGAATCTCACATCGACAAGGGCGCTGCAATCAGACTCCCTCCGGAGGGAGGAAGATGTTGCAGCACGGCAGAGGCTTGCTCCATAACAGCTAAGCCAAGTAGCTGCTTCATCCTATTGGTGATGCAAACTCTCAATAGCAAGCTGCTGAGGCCGCGCAGTGCCCTGGTGAAACATGGATGTGGTGCCATCTGTACACTATATACACCGCTGGCAGGGTAGTGACCCACCCTTAGGACAAGGACTAAGGTCCTCGCCTGAGATCCAGCCGAATGTGCATGTTATTTGTGCGCAATGTGCCTCAGGACAAGAACTAAGGTGCTTGCCTAAGAGTTAGCCGCGGGGCTTGCGATCAGGGTTCATGCACCTATTGCTCCCATAACACTGCGGACAAACTGGGAGGCTGAGTTCGTTCACCATGTCTGTGCTGCTGTGCATCTCTTGGTCGGAAGGGCTGAGTTGGGTCATATCCTGTACTTGGGAGGAGGTTGATCCATTTCGGAATGACGCACCTGGGGCACAGGTCAAAGGCCGAGTGTTCAGCTAAGGTCCTCTCCAAGTCGTTTACCTGGCATCAGGTTGAGACCTGTCAACAAGATACAATCGAAGAAGGCTTTGCTGGCAATGTAGCGGAGTGTTGGTGGGACTTCGTCGGTGATGGGAGTGCTCGAAAGATCAACGAATGCAAGGAGTTTGCAGTTGTCACAGGCATGAGGGCCTAACAAGTGAAATTCTGAAGTTATTTTCAGGTCTCGCAGCCGAGATGAGCCAAAACATCCTTGTGGTTTATCTCGAAGCAGAGAGAAGGGCGTCAGCTGACCTGGTTCTATCAAGGCTTGTATGAGTGTGACGCTAGAAAGATTGAGACACGAATCAAAGAGGTAGAGGGCCAGCTTGGTTGCAGCAACGAACGCGTTGTCCCCTCCACTTGCGCTTATGTGCTCTAATGAACAGCATTCAGCAAAGGCTCTGTATCCGAAGTCTACACATCCTGGAGCATCTACACTGCCTAGCAAGTAGCACCCCTGAAAAGCACTTTCATCAATCCGTACTACGCTAACCGGCAGCTTAACGATTCGCAACTGACGACAATTTTTCCATGCCAGAACTCCGACTGTGTGCAAACCTTCTTCTGCAAGGATGCGTCGCAACCTAGAGATTGCATAAAAACACTGTCTGGGATAGCTTCTGAGTCATTGACTGGGACTTTGACCGCTTTTGGGTAGTCCTGGTCTTCATGCTTTGGATTGATAGACTTTTAGGCATTTCCGAACTACCAGGTTAAACCTCGTGTTGCCGCAGGGTATCCCATATTGGGTCTTGTAGGTGCTCTTGCGTGTCCGGATGAATCAGATCTACTTCACATCCGAAGACATCCAATATGGTGACAGTGGTAATAGTCCACTATAGTCTTCTAGTTCAGCAAATCGATCGTGCTGCGCAATGCTCGTTGGTACAGCGATCTCATTTCCAGGCCAGGGTGGTGAGTAGGATCTGACAGGCCACGGAGGCTTCACTCTCTGCCGGTGTGCTGTGCAATGAATTGGTCTGCAGCCATTGGAGCCCGACGCTAATCTTACCAGTCTTACTAGTCTTGCTAAACTGCAGAGTGGTAATTTGAGCCAGCGCTGCATGGTGAGCTGAAGTTCTGTAACGTGCCTGGTGCGCAACCACTCAGCGATTTGCTGGCTGAACTACTGGCATGAGTGCAAAAAGTGACAGCAACTCCCTACTTATGAGGGAGAGTTGGCTCACGCTCATCAGAAACGTCAGCGTCTTCAATATTCCGGTCTTCCCGAGGCCGGTGCAGCTAGCCCATAAGCTCATTGAGCGCATGAAAGAGCTGCGCTTCCCAGATGTCACTCCAGAGGAAGGGAAGAAATATAGACACAATAGCAAAAGTGAGGCCAATAGTCCGTACATTATTGTTGGCACATGCGATGGTGTGTGTTCTTCCAGTACTTTCTCTGCCCTTCCAAACACGCCCAAGGTAGCAGGCGCATATGAACATGGAATCCTTGACGGCAACCTGGGTCAAATGGTGTCCTTCCAGTCCACCTACAAAAGCACTTTTCGCATTGAAGTGCCAGTGTGGCCGGAGGTACGGGTGTGCTGGCCACTAAAAAAGCAGGCTTGCCAGAGGAAGACCTCCACTGCTCCCTCAGTAGAAAGCAACATCCAAATGGCAATGTCCGTTCCGGCCACCCAAGAGGAGACGAGTGAAATGCCTAAGGCCACTGCGGACCCTGAGCGTGACGAAGAGGAGGTTGAAGATGATACCCATGTGCCACCCGAGGGACAAGGCGTTTTCTCCTTTCGGCAAAGCCTCCTGCTCAGAGCAAAGGACACCTACTCTGCGCGGAGTAATGGCAATAAGTGTGAAGTTATCTCAAAATGGCTCCTCACGGGTCTGGCAGTGTCCTCTCACGGCCCAACTGGCATGTCCTCGCCAAAAAAGCACGCTGACGTCCACCCCCAAGGAGCTACTCAGGCTCTACTATCAACAAGGACACCCGGCTGACCTTGTGGACAAAGCGTTATTGCCGTATGCTCTCCCTCGGCAGAATGCCATCACGGCCGCAGAGTGGCAGCACATTGTCACGTGGTTCAGTCACTCGAGGTATATTCAGGATATGGTCGCGGTCGGGAACTGACATTTTCTGCACAAAAATTGATCAAACAAATCCCACAAGAGCCGCCCAGGAAGAAGCTGCGCAAACAGATTCACAGGCCAAATCAACAACGGCCACCACAAGTGCCATCTCTGGCCCCTGACCCACTGATGCGCCCATCGCCAGTCAGAGCTGCCCAACTGAGCAGATTGACCAATAGCAGAAGTGGTTTTTGGCTCAAGCCAGCAATAGTTGCAATAGTCGATGAGCGTGAGTACCTGATGGGTAACATTGGCAGAAATGCAACCAATCAGTATAGCGGCGACGATGACAATGAAATCCAAGTGGCAGTTCCGGTCAGCATTTGCCAATTGGGAAATGCTGGAAGACTAGGTAGAACTGTTATCCAAGAGCTGCGGCATGGACACGTTTGGCTGTGAACTAACGCTCCTGACAGTGGATACTCTCCACTTACTTGGCGACCCCATCCATGACGAGCTCTGGGATAATGAGGGCTTTTACCTCGTCATCCAAGACTGTTTACGGGAGTGTTGCTCAAAGGAACAAATTAGACGAGAGGTGTATGAAGACCATCCCAAGGCCATTAGGGTCCCAGTCAATAAGTCAAGCATTCTCCCTGCCAAAGTTTTTTTCTCCCTCACGCGCCTTCGGCGTGTGCAAGTAGCGTTACTGTCACTCCCTCACCATTGTCAAACTTCCCAGCTCGGTGGTTGCAGTCGAATATGCTGCTTTCCAAGGGTGTTATGCGCTCACTGCAGTTGCAATGCCAGGCTGTGTGTCCCTTGGGGCAAGACTCTTCGCAGAATGTTGCGCCCTTGAAAAAGTAGGGATCCTCACAGAAAACCCGTGCCGCCTGGCTTGTCGGGCTGTCATCTCACCATATGCTTTTGAGGGTTGCGCAAGGCTCAAACAGATCGGCCTCCCTCAAACAAGCTATCACAGACATGGTGTTTTCTTCGCTCCCCCCAGCAGGCATTCCAATTGGGTGCTTCCATTCGTCGGGAGTCCAACTGGTTAGTTTGCCCAAAGAGACGACCTTCATCGGGCATAAAGCCTTTGCACACTGTAAGCAACTTGTTAAAGTTGATCTCTTGCGGACGCAAATCGATATTTTGCACATGCATGCATCTTTGC